CAGGATACAAAAGCATTTAGGAGGCATAGAAAACATTTATTTTGATGATGGAGCAGGGGCAGGCAGCCTATTTCTTTAAACATGTAACCTTCAAGTGCGGAAACCTTTCATGTAGGAGCCTGAAAAGTCGTCCGGCTTTATTATAAAAGCTGATAAAGGTCTCCACACCGTTTTTGTAACTGCTTTGTCCTTGGCAAGTCAGGACGTAGGAGGGTGCCAAATCTTGGGCTTGTTTTTTTTTGCATTGATACTTCAAGCAGCGCCAGGCAGTTGGCGGTGAGCGCAGCGTCGCTGTAACCCACAATCAATTATTAAATGTTAGGAATGAAGTACAAAGTGCTCCAGGGAAAATGCTGTAGTAGTTGGAATCCCTTACCTTGGCTGAAGGGGAAAAGGGATTGTGTAGGGTGATTTTTTATTGTTTGTGGACTTTCTGTGTTTTGTATTAGACTTTTTTTTGGTGGTGGTGCGTGCCATCTGGCTTCTGCTTGCATTTATTTTTTTCTTTTGCTATTCTTCAGTTTTCTGTCACTTCTTTCTGCTGCAAACAGCATGGCTGACCTGCTGTGTTGCTTCAGCCACATCTACAGTACAGGGAACAAAAATCTTCTTGAGGTTTTACTGCTTGGTAGAGAGATTGAAAACAGAATTTGTGCAAATCAACTTTAATTTTGAAGAAACTCTAGTGATTTTCTATGAGTGGTGCTGGGAGCTGTGTGGTGGTCTCGTCTGAAAATGTCTTCTGGAGGTCAAGTATTTAAGTAGCCACCATTACAGCATAGAACAATCTTAATCTTTAAAACAAGGAGATGAGAGGTTGTCAACATTACAGCTCAAATGTGGATGCCTTTATTTTCTCTATGAATAATTATGAATGAGATAAGGGTAAGACATAAACAAAAGCATTTAAATCCAGTGTTACTTCTTTCCTCTGAGATCTGGTGCAGCTCAGTGGATTTCTTGAGGTCCTAAAACTGCTTTTCTTGGCTGATTTCTCAGTGGACTAACCCATTAACAGTTGGCATGAATGGAGGGAAGAGAGCAGCAGCCTCCCTCATATGTGCCATTTCTCAATTAAGAGCAGGGTAGTCCATCCTGCTCAGAACAAGTGGCTTTGGAGGGTCTTTTTAGAATTTGTCTAAGACGCATTACATTGGAGACTTTTTAAAAAAATATTCAAAAATAGTTAAAGTTAAAAAGCAAAGTTAAGTTTTTTTTTTTTTTAGTTCAAAGTCTTCAGAGAGGTTTCTTAATCAATGCATAGATAGTGCAAAATAATGCTTGTACATCAGATAAGTCATAACTAATGCATGTGAACCAGAGCATTTGTTTGATCAATTTATAGAATCTGAAAACAAAACTGTCCAACGGAAGATGAGTTTGTCTTTATGCCTAGGGAGACAGATAAAATAATCAGTAAACATGAGGGAAGGTTATGGTCTCTGTGGGTTGATGGCAGCAAAATCAAACTTGATTTTAATGTGATCAGTTGCCTTATGTTATGTAATGGCTACCTGCATAATAACTCATGTATGCAGTCGCTAACATTTCCCAGGCATCTGTGCAAAGGATATGCAATTTAAACTATTTAATAAAGCTTTATCACTTCATGATTAATTGGATTGGCTCATGACACATAACTAATAACTCCCAGTCTGTATTGCACTGTGCTTATTAGAGTGCTAATGGATAACTGGTTTAATCATGTGTCAATTAAAAGGATGAGTCGTTTCATTTATTGCAATTAGATGGTTTCCATAAACTGTTTGCAGGAAGTATCTGAATTGCATCGTGTATTAGCTGTGTGTGGGCTCTGCTCCTGGCTCCACGTAATCTGGGGGTGAATCAGTTCGTGTAGGGGAGTTTTGGATCCACGTGTCCACTCAGGATTGTTCTGTGGTGCATGGCACTGAGCGTGGGCACAGGGCATCTGCCTGTGCACCAGCATGTAAGGGTCAAGAAGCTTTAAAAATAACCATTTTCAAAACTCTCTGGATGAAGCTTTTGAAATAACAAGTTTTTAATCGCTTCTTTGGTTGGAAAAGTGAGTTTCTGACAACCCTCCTGTTTTCTCTATGGAGGTATATGGTCATGAAACCCAAACCATCTGTTCCTTCTATTCTGTGCTTGAGGAGATGAGGAGACATGATGCAGAAGAGAGGCTGGATGGGAGAATGACCTGTGTGATGCATGGGACAGACTTAAGAGGATGAAATACCAAAATTTCAAAGTGTTTTCTATGTTTGATCAGTGCCACTCATGGTGGGTGGAAGGAATGTTGGTGTGGGGAGACTGTCATGCACACAGGAGGAGCTTTGCAGACACCTGGGAATAAATAACAGGAAATCTGTCCATGTTCCTTCCCAGTGCTTGTGACAGAAGCATCTGGTTAGGCAGGCAGGTGTTGTGCAGCAGCTTTTATCCCAGTATAAGCATTATTTGAGCTCACCTGCACTGATGGTGTGATGGTTGGGTGCCCATCTCCCTTTCCCAGTAAGTTAAGGGTAGGATAAGAGATGGCCCCAAGCTGTGCCAGAGGAAGTTTAGATTGAGCATTACAAAGAGTGTCTTCACTGAAAGAGTTGTCAAGCACTGGAACAGCCTGTCAGGGAGATGGTTGAGTCACCATTGCTGGAGGTATTAAAAAGACACATAGATGTAGCACTTGGGGACATGGTTTAGTGGTGGGCTTGGCAGTGCTGGGTTAATGGTTGGACCTGATGATCCTGGAGATCTCTTCCAACCTAAACAGTTCCATGATTCTGTGGCAGTAGCTGCAGTCTGGCAGCATGTGGCTGTCCACATTCTGTGTTCAGGGTTTGTCTGCCTCTTTGCCATGTGAAATACTGGGCAGAATTGCAGAGGAAATAAAGCCTGGGAGGATCTTTGCCCTTTGGGGAAGAATTTTCCCTAAAGAACAGCATTTTCTAAGGCTGTTATCTCATTAAAAGACACAATACTTGAAGCTTTTGTTTACAATTTTTGATCAACAGTAGAGCCCTGAATCACCTGTGGAAGCTGGAAAGACACTTAGTGCAAGTAGGTAAAATAGTTGCATGAGCAAGGTGAGGTTCCTGGCAGGAGCTGTTTGAAATGCTGTGGAAATAATTTCTCCTTCCTGCTCCCTCTCTTTCACCAACACTTTTGTATATAGGAAAGTTCTGAGATGGTTTCCAGCACACTTGGCTTTGGTAGGCGGAGAAACAGTTCAAAATGAAAGAAGGTGGGAGGAACTGCTGGGTTACCAATTTTGCAACATTAGGTATCTGTAAAAATTGCCAGTAGCACACAAATGAGAATGCTGACAAGTGTGGTACAAAACTGGCCTTTTTCCAACATGAGAAGAATGAATCCTTTCCTGAATGCAGCATTTGGGTGGCTTTTTTTTCCTCATGTGTTACAGTGGTCTCCGAGGGGGGATGCACAGTGTTATTAGTGCGCAGAAAGAAAATATGAGCACTTCAGAAATACATGTATATAGTTCATAAATAAATAAGTAAACATTTTGGGGATGCATGTTCAGACATTGCTGGTAGGAATGTATAATCAAAACAATTGGGAGACCACTGATCTATAACTATCTTGGTCATGGAAATGAAGCATCTCTTCGGTTTGGAAATGTGAAAGTGGTTCAGATGTGCAGCCAGAAAACAAACTGCTGGATTTAGATGTGAGAATGCTTCACCCTTAATTGAAAAGGGAGTGTTTTTTACAAGTATCACAGTCAATGACTTGTCTTGAGCAGCTAATTAGTACGATTATTCCGCAGCTGCATTAGTTTCACCACAAAGGTTTTCTCTTGTTTTATCAAAAGGATCAGTGTCTCTGTGAATGTTTCAACATGACAGGTCTTAAATAGCAAGATGGTCCCCTGCCTCCCTGCCCCCAAAATGTGTGCTCTGGAAGAGCAGAGTTTGATCTCTTGGGGCAGTAAGCGTGGGTTCTCCTTTTTTTTTTTGTTTTTGCTCTGAACTGTGTTCAACATCAGTCCTAAACAAAGCCAGAAAACTTCCAGCAGTGCTGGCTCTGGCTGTCACAGCACAAGCAGCGCTTGGTGCCCGCAGCTTTGAGCAAGACCTGGAAGGGATGCTGGCTCTCAGACTTGTGTGTCCTGCCAGCATCCCACAGGTATCAGCTGGAGCCAGAGGTGGGGGTTTCAAGAGCAACTTCCTCCTGGAGCCAGGAGGGTTACTGCTGGCTTGCCAGGGCATGGCCCATGGATTTTGGTTCTGTTGGCTAAGAATATGATGAGTTGCTCTAGAAAATGTCCCTGCAGTCCATGGTGAAGTCCATGCTCTGCTTGCCAATGGCTTAGTTATATCTCCTAGGTGGTGAAGCTGAGCTGTGTGCTGGCTTGGGCCAGCCTGTTGCTCTTTGTAAAGGATGACTGGAATAAAGCTGTTATTTTCGTTTATTTTGCCTGTTTTTTGTATCTGACAGTGCTCAGAAGATGCTGGTGGGCCTGAGGTGGGAGTTGGGTTTTTTGTAGAGGTCTGTTTTCTAACTCTGAAAAGTCACTGCCAGCCAGCCCAACCCTAGGGTGATATTATGCAGGAAATAAGTAACTATATTTTGTTGTGTTTTCATGGGAGAGGTAGATTTACTTTGAGCTAGATCATTGGACTGGAGTATTATCCACACCAATCATTAGACTTGCTACAGCTCTTTTTTATTAAGGAAAAAGGAATAAATGTGCCTACTACTGTCTGTATAAGCATTTGTTTTTCTCGTGGGTGGTTGCTGTAAAATTTGAAGGAGCAAATGGCTCTTTACAGCTGGATGTTGATGTTGGGTGAATGGTTTGGCTGCAGTCAGGTTGAGGCAATCTAAGGTGGCCACCAAGTACCTGAAGTAGTTTTGGCTCTGAGTTCCCCTCTCGCGGTGCCGTGGATCCTCACCCACTGTGCCCCACGTTCCCCTGTAACTCCACCAGCTCTGGCCTCTGGAGCTGCCATCCCTCTTGGTGGAAGCTGAGCTGTCTTTCTCTGGTCTTCCCACAGCAATTCCGAGCATCCTGGCGCTTCCAAGCCTCCCTTAAGCTCCTCCAGCATGACCTCACGAATCCTGCTCCGACAGCAGCTCATGCGTGAGCAGATGCAGGAGCAGGAGCGTCGGGAGCAGCAGCAGAAGCAGCAGGCAGCCCAGTTCATGCAGCAGCGAGTGCCCGTCAGCCAGACACCTGCCATCAACGTCAGCGTCCCCACCAGCCTGCCCCCCGCCACCCAGGTGCCCATGGAGGTCCTCAAGGTACGCACCTTTCCGCTCAGGAGCTCCTCAAAACCCGCTTTATTTTACAGGGATGTGGTTCTAGGCGTTTTCGGCAACCAAGTTTTGCAAATAAGCTGCGCCCTGGCTTAGTTTGCAGCTTGTTTTGTTGGCCTGGTAGCGAAGAATGGAAGAACTTTTAAAAAAAAGTTTGTGTAACTTTTGTTTTCTTTCAACTTTGAGGTCTCCGGAGGGAGGTTTTGTAACCAAACTAAGTTTTCCGTCATTTTCCCTTTGGAAAACGCTTCTCCATCTTTCTAGTGCTTAATTACTTTCAATATGAAGAAATTATTAGCAGATAACAAATGTTTTGGTTTTTAGAGGAAAACAATAAAATAGTTTTGTAAGATGGAGTCAAAACTCTTTACAAAAGAGCTCCTCAGAAAGCCTTAATCTGAAATATGGGTGAGTTTCCAGCTACTTGCAACGAGTCTTTGTAATCCTTTTTTTGTTTAAATGACTTGTTTGCTATTAGTAGCTTTGGATTCCTTGTCCCACTGGAAACTATAGGAGCTTGTTAGTGTCCATCTGTCAAAGGGGATGTAGCTTGCTAATTACTCAGGGAAGAACGTGCACAGCTATAAGAAAAGAGATAATTTCACGCACTGCTTAAATTCAAGTAGGCTGAAGCACCGTGAAATGTGTGAGTAAAACAATGTCAAATGTTTTGGAGAAGTTTGCTGACATATTTCATGAAAATATGATTTTCACCATTTTTGTAGAGTTTGCTTCGCATTATTGCTGGATCTTTTTATTACAGTTTGTTGTTTAGTCAGTGAGCATATTCTTACCACATAAGTTAGCTGAGCTCGGTGACAAACCGCTCATGTTGTGCTTGTTGCTGTTGTATACCAGTGATATGCAGTCAGAAATTCTGTTTTAAAATAGACTTGCTGGCTCAGGAATTTGAGGTGTTCTGTGTGACAGGTTTATGGGGAAAATATAGGATAATTATATGTATTGAATCTGCATTTTGGTGTTGTGTTGTCACCACTAAAAATAGCACTTGATTTGGGATAGTAGAGTCATAGTCCAGTATGTGATCTAGGAGCAAAAAGGCAGCAGTTGAATTTTGAATTCTCTTTCTCCGTACACACATTTCCATTAAAAATTAAATGTAATATTCTTTGAACATGTGTGCATATATCTATAGTAAGGAGTCTGAAATTGTCTGGGAAGAATTGTTTTGTCTAATGTTTGTGTATTACTCGCAATGTTTGTGTATAACAATTTCTTCAGCTTGTTTCCAGGTTATGGCTGTGGTTATAATTCAGATCCAGCAGATGTGTAGGTGCTATGATTTTTTTTTTTAACTCACCTAGCTAAATAAGCATATTTTACATTTTTTACATCCTTTCATCCTAATCTGTTACAATATGAATTTTAGGGTATTTTTAAAATACTGTGAACACTTGTAGGAAAATGTTTACTATTTTACTGATAAGGAAGAAGCTTCTTGAAGAAGCATTAGCAGTTGTCATTATGGTTCATTTTGCAAATGGCTCTTTCGATGGGAGAGGAGGGAAGGCAGCCCTTGATTTCTGAGGGACAAACTTCAGAAATCTCTGCAGCCAAAAGGTGATGCAAATGGGGTTCCTGGGACCTGCCTTGTCACAGGATATGTGTGCAAAGCTATAACCTGCTGGAGCACTGCTAGGAAACTTCACCCACAGGACTTGAACCTGACCCCTTGTCCCTTGGGATTCCAAAAAGGGTATTTGTCCCCCATTTCCCTCTGATGGAGAAGGATCTCCTGGAAAGAGGTAGGACACCTCTCCTCCACTTGTCTTTAGCCCAAAGAAGAGTGCATGACCCCGTGGAATAAAAAATTTGGAGAGTGTGTCCTTAAGCAGCTTGTAAAATAAAAATAGTTACTGGCAACAGGTACCTTTTGGCAATGGAATTCCATTTTGAAGGTGATAGTTGTGGAAATATGAGCAACCTGCTGGACTAAAATGATGTCTGTTATCTCATCACCTACATTTCCATAAGTAACAGTCAAAATTAGGAAAACCCAGTCCTCCTGGGCTCTGCCTGTGAGAGGAGAAAAAAACTGCAAACTGAGGAAAACAGCAGAACTGCTTTGCATGGTTTTGCTGCTTGTGTTTCTGGTGGAGGAAAGCAGTGAAAGATTCACCTTTTTATCCTTACTCATAACAGTGGACCAGTTCTGTACAAAAAAAAAATTAGTACAAAATGCCAGGTTTGAAGTCGTGATCTTCCTGAAAATTACCACCGAGGCTTCAGTGAGGGTAAGATTTGGCAACAGATCCATATAGTTTCTTTGTGATTTTGGGGGGGATTGTCTTGGGGTTTTTTGTTTGTCGTTTTTCCAAATAGGATATTTGGCTCAAAAGCTGAGATTAACAATAACTCAGGATCTTCCTGGTGCCAGTGTGCTGACAGCCAGCTCTGGCTGCAGTGACATCATTTCCCTGCAGCTGCTTTTTACACTTCAGTTGTTTTTTAGCTGTAGACAAATTTTCCATATGAGCTGTACAGAAGTTTTAATAGATAAATAGGGAGCTAAGTTGCTAACTTTACTATGCATATGGTCTGGATTTAGTGACCGTAAAGAATGAGGTAGACAAAAAGAGGATTTTTTACTTTCAGGAATGTTAACTTGCAAGGCAACTTTGTTTAAAAGTGATCTTTTTCAATGTTACTTCACAAACAACACCAAATCTAGCAGCTGGTTTTGTTGTTGTGTTTGCTTGTTTGTTTGTTTTGGTACTTTGCATCAAAAAATCCCACTCTAAGCCTGTTGAATTTGTCAGTGTTTAGTGGTTTTAATTATGTTGTGTGACTTGCCCTTTCACCCATATCTCACAGTGTGAGAAGGAGAATAATACTTGCATATCTGAGGATGGTAATTCAGAATGACTGGTTTAAAAAGAAGCCAGAGGTGTTAATGAGCTTGGATTTTATATTTGTTTTCAAGATGTCCATTTAGAAACAATACAGAAAGAGAAATATGTACTAATCTATGTCACGTTGCATAGGCATCTCCAAATTGCATAACATTTTATGCTCAAGGCCATGTGAATAAATTGGATTTCATTTTCTTGAGTAATGACTTCTCATTGCATCACTCCTCTGCCAAGTAATGTAGCTTGGCAAGGTAGGAGATGACCTGCTGGAATTCAAATTTTGCATTGCTTTGTGCTGCCTAATTAAGAGATGGACTGGGATAGGTTTGATGCTTTTGGAACAGTATCCCTTCAACTCTGATAGCAAAAGGAAGATTTGTTACAGCTTGTGGTTATCCTTCTGCAGAGCTGGGATTGGCTTCATGGGCTGGTTTGTCTTTGAGCACCTTCTCATCCATCTCCAATGGTACAGAGAGATGTCACCAGGAATTCTTTGCTTCTGCTGTAATTTACTTTCTTCCTCTGCCTTGGAAATAGGAATATAACATAAAAAATTGTTTATTGGAGTAGTTTCAAGACTTGGTAAATCCTATTAAGGATGAGATCCATGAGGACTCATGGGTCCCATAAAGACACATTCCTTATGTTTTTATTCATTTATATTTAAAAGGATTAGCATCATTGCAAAAAGTTCATCTTAAAACTGAATTGTTGCTGTGGTATGTGACTTTACCTGTATTGTTTTATCTGATTTCTGGATCAGGCTTATTGTATAGAAGAAGTATGACAAAATCCTCTAAATCCTTTGAACCTGCCTGCCCAAAAGCCCGTGTGGCACTGCAGGAACTGTGGCTGGTCTGTGTCCTCTGTGGGAGCAGCAGCACACAAGGCTCAGGGCCAGCACCGGCCCACAGGATTGCAAATCAGTTCCACTGAAAATATTACCAGTTCTTGCAGGATTGAAAACATTTCTGGTGGGCAGCTGACACCCAGCCCTCTGCATGTCTCACTAAGCAGATGGAAGGTGGAAAATGAAGGGTGAACATTTCTTCCCTCTGGCCCTCCAAGTTCCTTGTTGGCGTTTCTCGGTGCGTGGATGTGACACTTGCTGTCATGTTTCTGATGTGATGCACCAGGTCACGGGTTGATGGAACCTGAACTGGATGTGCTCTGGGTCCCTGTCCCTGCTGCTGCATGCAAATGCTCCCAGGGATGAGGTTGCTGCACATCCTCTTTGGCCTGAGTGTTGTCACACCAAATGCATAGCATGACAGAAATCTGCTGCACTTCTCATACCTCTTCCTCCTTCTTTGTCTGCCTTTGGGGTTTGAAGAATGTAACTTTTCTTTGGCACAGATGGGAGATGCTTGATACTACTGCCAAGAACAGCCTCCAGGGCTGCAGTGAGAACCTGCAGCGGTAACAGATATCTTTGGAGAGCTGCATAAATGCTTTGCAGGTAGTAAGGAAAAAGCAGGTCTCCTCACCAGCAGATGATGTAGTAGGTCCATTTCATCCCCTCTTAGCTTGTTTTTGGAGAATAAGAAAACAGTTCCCTTGCTCCAGGGAATCTGGAGAACATGGTCCTGCCTTGGGGATCTAAATGTTGAGGTCTCTGCTTTCTGGATAAAAATCTCTACTTGTGCATATACTTCCAGCCCTGGCTAATAGGGCAGTTCACCCCAAAATATACACAGGTAAATTTTTTATATATATTTATCTAAAACATATGTATAGAAGCATAGGCCACAAACTAGTTTTTAATGTCTGTCCTTAAGCCATTTTAATAGTCTATCTCCATACAACAATGCTTATAGTATGCTAAATAGTAAAAAATTTGTTTGCCACTAAAGCCCTCACTTCAGATTCCCGCTGCTCACTTGCCTGGGTTTGTGTTTTCATGGCAGATGTTAATTCATCTTTTGGTGCTAGAATTTCATCATGGCCTTTCTTTCTTGTCCTAAGAAAGGTAAAACCTTTTCAAAGCCTAGAGCCATATCCTGTGTACTGGATTCCCTCTCTTTATTATTCCAACATCTTTGCCCACATCATGGCAGTACTGTGGGCTGATCACTGCTGATACCAGAGTGGATGTGGTTGTCTTCTGCTCAG